GGTATTTGATGCCAAACAGTTATCTCATAAAATATCGCTTTCAATCTTACTTTTAATTAGTTTAATAAAATTTCTTTTGAATCACCTTCCGTGCCGAGATATGCACAAACTCAACGCAATATCCCCCGAGCAAATCATCGAGAATCAAATCAATCGTCAAGAAAATCAAAGAAAATAAAATGTATTACATAAATCACCGAGATCTCAACAATCAAAGTATGACCACACATACACACGCGCCGGAGGTCTATCTCTGTCTCGTCCCTTCGCACGCGCGTGAGCACCTCGAAATCGCGCATCATCTGAAAGCCCAAAAAGAGAAAAGCAAGTGTATATATACTATAAGAAGAAAAAGAAAAAGGAGAGAGGGGGGGGGGGGGAAGAAAAGGACAACCGCTTCTTCTGCGGACACAAAAGGGGCTTGCGGGTATCCCGCACGCACACATCGACGAGGCTACACAGACAGTGAAAACGTTCGGCGAGACTGCTCGTCGGCGCGGTGCTTTACTCTCGAGCTGGCCGTGCACTGTGCACACCTGTTCTCTCTCTTTCTCTCTTGGTCAGGTATGCTCGCGCGTGTGGGTAATGAAAAACGGATTCTTTTCTCCTTTTATTCCGAGCCGACGCGAGAGAACTCCAGCAGATGTATTACTTTCTCGGGAAAAATGCATTCTGCGCCAGAGAAGCTCTGAAAAGTTCCAATTTGGCTTTCCTTTTTCGACGATCAAGTGGCACGAGTGAGTTATTGCGCGTGAATTCATCTTGGCGATGATGGATGGGCGTAATTATCGAGGCGTTACAAGAGGAAGATTTGCAGCTGGGCACGCAGAGCTTTCGTGAATTTTACGCGTTATCGCGAAGTTCGACAGTTACAGGCCAAGTTTTGTGAAATATCATTCAAATTCAAAATAAGCGTTACACCTTCCTCGGAATTTCAAAAGCCCAAAAAATCCTTCGGAAAACGCTCGAATCTTTCGGATCTGCTTCGAGAGCTATTGGCTTCCCAAAGTTATACCATGAATCCTCGAATGGAAATAAATCTCAGGCGCGAGAGTGGACCTTTTTCCCACTCGCGCGGATGCGATACCTGAAGACTCGCGCGTACGGACACGCGCGATTCAGCCATCTAAAAATAAAGCCCCTCTCTCGCGCCCGCTCAATTGAAATTTGCCTCTCGATCGAATCGCGCGTTTACGCACCTTTGTCTCTGTCTTTCGCACGCCGAACAGATCGTCGAGGCGCGATTAAAAGGTATGCTCCGAGAAAAAACGTTTCCTTTCCTCTCCCGCCCTCCTCTCTCTTTACCTTGCTCTTTGCGACCAGTCGACGCGGTTTTTGCGCTTTTAGTCGAGTTTTATGGTTAGTTAAATGTTTATGGACTCGGCCTTTTGTCGCACTGCTCTTTAGGCTTAATTTTTTTATTATTTGCGACGCACGAAGCAGCGCAAGCTCTGTTTTTCGATACACGCTGAATATTTGAAATTAATAATCGTTGATGCGCAGGCTCGAAGAAAATACGTAGATTTCTCGTATAATCATCGCCTAAGTAAATCAACAAACACACGTGTAATTATGTAATCTCGAGTTTGAGAAATCATTGGTAGCTTGTAAACAGCAATAAATATAACGACATAATATGTTTTATTTTGAGATACAAGCTAAAGTGGCTCGTTGAAATCTTAATTCGCACGTATTGACAACTTTCACTCAAGTGAATAGTTCAGTCAGAGATAACGGTAATTGTATGCGTTAAAGTGCATCACATAAATGTGTTGGAGAACGAGTTAAGTGAGTTTGCAACCTGCCATTGATATTTTTTAACGGAATACACGCGCTTTCTATGGCTTTTTAGAACGATAATGTTTAATTTTAAGATACTTAATGATTTATTATTCGCATTTGAATTTCACGTGGACACTAATTGTTTCATGATCTAGCCTTGATAAATTCGTAAAAAATTGCTTGTAGACAATGAAAACGAAAACAATAAGTGCCACTAAATTGCTTACTAAAAATTTAAGCGTTTGGAAGAAACGAAATTGCGGTCGGACCGCAAACTTCCCTCGCTTGCTCAAAATCCAGGCCGAAGAATAAATGTCTCTATCGATGTTATGGGATCGGGGAAACGTTAGCAGACTTACCCACCAAAGACGAACGAAGAAAGAAGAAGCACACACGCCAAAACTCGTTCCACGATCATCCAGTGCTTTGCATTCCAGTGATTGCGTGTATGTGTGTGTGTGTGTGTGTGTGTGTGTGTGTGTGTGTGTGTGTGTGTGTGTATATACCAAAACACCATGCAAGTAAGACAACGATAAATCAAGGGAGATCCGAATGAAATTTAACGATTCCGGTGGCGCGAGTCCACAAGGGATGTGCGCCGAAAAGGGAGGAAAAGAAGTCGGAATCGCACGCGTCAGTACGGAAATCAAGTTTCGGTGTGAGAGAGAGTTTTTGACGCGCCGAATATAGATCCGATTTTGAACGTCCATGCGGCAATTTGAGGGTGCATCGTCTAAACTCGCTCATACGAGTATCTTACGACGCGTCGTTAGTCACGAACATTTTAAATGCCGCCAATACAAGTTGTTGATACAGCACGATAGGAACGAGCTGAATTGAGTCTAATGGGCTCGCTAAAATGTTGTCGTTGTCACTTCCCCTTCCCTAGTCGTAATTTTTCGTAGGCGCGACGCGACCTTTATTATTTGAGAAGAACAATCGAATTGAACGCGAGTAAAAAAATGTAATTTTACATCTGAATGCGACGGACGGTGAACATTGACAAGAGGTGGTAATCAAACCGAATGTAATCTGCTATACTGTGTGTGACTCACTGGATCTTTTTAAGCTTGCGTGCACATCGTGTCGAGGCAGGGTCAGACTTGAGCGCTCTGTTTTGATAAGTCTATGCGTGCAATGTTTCCTTTTTATATCCGCTGTATCAGTCGCATGCGTTGAGAGAGGCACAGAATTTTCGAAACGTTGAATTTTAGTTTTGAGCGATTACGCGTTCCGTGAACATTTTTAAAATGTTAAGGCTTTATTTGATTTTCGGGCAGTTTTTACAAGTCACAGCTGCTGGAACTCTGAGAAATTGTGTAGCTTTTCTTTCGGTTTCCTATTAATTTTGAAATATTTGCAACTTTTAAATGTACTAAACCGAAATAATATATTTGAGATGAATGATTTCCAATAGCTAATAATTTGTGGTGGAAATAGCAAGATACGATTTTTATTTCCTGAATTCTAGCCTTTTATTTTAATTTGAGCAATCGCTGTTTATTTACTCTTTTACCGAAGCCATCTTGCATTCAATCCCTATAAGTAGTATACGGTACTATATTATGCACTAAAAAGAAAATCAACTAGATGGTTTATGCTCTCTCATACAAGGATGCTTTTATGTTCGCGAATGGTATTAAGATTTGTATAACTTTCGATATTTTCTTTTTGATTTTAAAATTCAAACTCTGGTTGCTTGTAAAGTTTCATAAACTAATCTACAGCGCGGAACTTAAATATTGCTAAACATATGAAAAAAAAAAACTATGGCTATGTTCCAACGTATCGTAATTTAATGAAAAACTTCACTAAGATTTTAACAATTTTCAAGATTTAAGTTTTCAGATATGAAGCTTTGGTTGCTTGTCGCTTTAACCGACTGATAAATATTATACTGTTATAAAACTGAATAAAAAATCATGAATTGTCAATATTTATAGAGGAGTCAATTATGTGCGTTAAATATTCGTGATACTTTATTTTTAACAGAGCTTTATTTAACAACTATTGTAGAGTAGTTATTCGAGAAAAGTATTTTTAAAATATACAACGTTTAAAACAAAAATAATTGTGACAACAACTTGAAGCCTTTGTTTTTTGTTTGCAATCGAATGAGCATCGCTTTGAACATTGTCTAAACAATTATTTTCATTGCAAAAATTTCCATACGCGGACATGTGAAATAATTCAGACCCGAAGGATCAGTGCTAGTATTAACGATCAACTGAAAATTCACGAAATTGATCGAATAATAAGAAAACAGCGTAAATGTACTAACAATCAAATGGACCGCGTCGTAAATTTAGTCACTGCGTAATAAAAGCCTTATAAAGTCATCAAGAAAGCGATTTGATTACCTCCATAAGTTCGTTCGAGAAAAAAAAAAAATTAAAATACAAACTGGAGAATTCAAGGGGCAAAAAAAGAAAAATTCATCGTGTCTTTTAAAGCGTCTCGCCTGATTTTCACTCATCCCCTTTGTTTTTTTTTGTTTTTTTGACGTCTCGAAAAAGATAGAAAAACAAACTCAAATTTCGAGTATTCTTGCGAAATTATAGGAGAAAGGAGGCATGGCAAGCAACAGCAGCAACAAGCAACAGCAACGGCAGTCAAGCAACCGGTCTGAGCTGCTCTTGCGCGCGCGCGTCGAAAAATATTATTCCCGTTTTCTTTTTCCTTTTCACCTCTCTCTCTCTCACTCTCTCTCTCTCGCTCTCTTTCTATATAGACTTCCCCCGAGTTGAGTGAGTGTGCGGAGCGGCAAGACGAAGGCGGAAGAGGGACGAAAAAGACGAGACAGCTTGGCATCGTCTCAGGGTCTCTTCTCCTTCTTTCGGACTCTCTCTCTCTCTCTCTCTCTCTCTCTCTCTCTCTCTCTCTCTCTTGCGTATAATCTCTTTCGTTTTGCTCCGCTTTTTTTTTCTTCTGCTCCACGCGTACACGCAACGCGTGACCTTAACAGAAATCTAACACTGAACTTTTTGTTCGGATTCTTAATTCTGCATATGCAACGATAGTTTATTATTAATAATTTTGGAGAATTATGACATAGTCTTAATTGGTCTGGTCATTTTCTTATGGTCTCAGGAATTGATTAATAAATGTGTGGAAAAATTTGTCCTTTTATTCTATACCAAGAAACACAATGAAATGTAGGTTTTATGGAAAAATTTATATCCGAAAAATTGTTGTAACGTATATTATTTGTCCCTCCAAAACAGTATAGTTCAAAAAAATTACAATGAAAACGCCAATGAAATAGAACAAAATCGTGTAAGTATTATAATCAGTGGATAATTTCTATTTTTTATGTAGTACCGAATCAACTCGTTCAAATTAATGCCAAGTTCCAGTCAAGCAGTGACCGTTGAATGTAAATCCCCCATCATCTTACTCAGTTTTTCCTCTCGGCCAAACAGCAACTCCGAAGAAAAGTTTTATTCTTGTCTTTTGACGCGCATCCCTTGATCAACGTTTCTCCCCGTTTCGAAAAAAAAAAGGAGAAGAACACGAGGTCACATTGTATATATAATACAACAGTGACTTGTCGAGAGAGAGAGAAAGAGAGCGAGAGGGGGAGGGAGGGAGGACGGAAAGCCTCTGAGCACCATAACGCTTTTAGCTGGTAGAAGTTTGTATTATAAAGCCCCAAGCAAGCAGCAGCGGCAGCAGCGTCGCTCTCTCTTTCTCGCGCACCAACAAGTGTCGCTCCTCCGACCGCCTCTCGACTCGCTTTCAGTTGCTCGGCAGCACTTGCCGCGAACTGGTCATCAATTTTTTTTATACAGATTTACATATCACTCCCCGGGGTTTTCACTTATTTCCCGCGCTTGGCCAGAGGAATGGCCACTTTTGGCTGAGATTTTTCGCTTCAGTTTCTCCTTCGTCGATCGCCGATTTCCGTGTGGCTTCCTATTCGCCTGTCCGACGATTATAATGAAGATGAAAATCGTACTGGGGTTGGCGTTGATTGCTTATGTGGCCGAGGCCGCCAGCGACATCGAGGCTGAGAGGGTAAGTCAATCGCGTGCTTTTCTTCTCGGTGTCGCGCGAAAATCGTCTCGATGCAAATCGGACACTCGACTCGATAGATCGACGTCCGATTATCATCAGCAATATTCATTCCTGAAAGAGAATCGAGTGAAAATGAAGCACGCGCTTTTGATGATACACTTCCAATACTTCTTATTGGGCATCGTTAAATATTACTCCATCGATACAATCTTGCACTTCAAAGTACGTACCAGAAGCAATAAAACTGATATTTACGACAGAAATTAATTATTCCAAGTACAACTGTTTAACGTCGAGAGAAAGAGAAAGAACGAAAAAAAAAGACAGCAGCCGTCGCTTTTATAGCTATTTTAGTAAACGCACGATAAAATTTATCAATTTAGTTGCGATAGTGTATAATGATTTGTTAGCTGTCAATTACTGGGTCATACTTGTATATTGCCTGAGTTGAAATGTCGATTGTAATATTTGGATGATTATAAACAGACGATAACAATGCTATCATTATCGGCTTTCGTGAGCTTTTTGTTTTATATTTTTAATATTAAAAACAACGCTTTCTAGTTGTCGAATAATTATTTATTTGACATAAATAAATATGAAGATATCGCGACAAAGTAGAATTCATTTGAATCTCGGAGGGATTATGAAAATTTGCACACGAATCAGCGAACTTAAAAATTTTCAATTGAATTAATTATCTTTTACATTACTTAGAGCGGAATACTTGAGAAATTTGTGAATTCTTATCAATATTATAGTCTAGTGAACGGGTCTCTGATTAGTAATGAAATCAGTAAACTATGAATATCTTCCTTGTCTTTTAACATTTCTCCTTCGCGATAAATATATTATTACGCGATTCTTCTTGTGCGATATTTTTTGTGTTTATCTAATTTTTTTATTGGCATGACTCATTCAAATCAGTTTTATGTATACACACACACACACACACACACACACACACACAAGCGCGCATTTCAAATTCGTGACATAGCGGTTAATATATATAAATCTTGTGTGTGTGTGTGTGTGTGTGTGTGTGTGTGTGTGTGTGTGTGTGTGTGTGTGTGTGTGTGTGAGCGCGCTCATATTCACCATCGTGGAAAGAAACAATAGTTGGAAAGTTTCGTTGTTTGTTTTCAATTAAATGATAACTAGATAAATTTAAAACTCAGTTCATAACAATGATGTAATATTATGATATAAGTCACAAAGTTGATTGTAGTTTAAAATACCATCTTCAAAATTGAACTATTAATTTCACATTTGGTAAAATAAACTCTTGCTTATTCTGGTGCTTTAACGTTGTTTTAGGAATCGTTGAATTCAAAGTTTTACTATTGTAAATATTGAACTTGAAACAAAGGCGATTAAAGATGATTAGGGATAAGAAAAGAGCATTCGAAAGAAGAATCAAGTGTGCTTGTGCTGAGGCGCATAGGTGCAACTTCTTCTAACGATAACCCCTAAGAGCTTTTCTATTCTTATTCCGCGCGTATAAATATTTTGTCTATCCGTGGCGAATCGCCTCTTATCTCGCTTCAACATTTAGTCGCAACTCGAATGTTACACCGCTTCCGATTGTCCGTTAAAGTCCCATGCGCTTTTCACGTCGACACGCGTTTATACATGCGTGAATCATCGGTTACCGGGTATGTGATGCGCTCCAATTGTGTAATGTAAATAAGAGAAAAAATTTCCTTGCGACGGCTTGAGAGTCCGGTACTTCGAGTTATGACTTGAGCCTGTGGCGGAGATTGGATTTCATGTGCAGGTGACGCTAACTTTGAACGAAAAAAAAGTCTTATTGTTTTATTTGAAAACTTTAAGGAATACTCAATATAATGAATTATTTATGTATTTCATTGTGAGGGTTACAGAAAAGCCGAATCAAAAAATGATGCTCTAAATTGATCTGAAGATTCTTTTATCATTATTCAACTTGTTATCGAAATAATTTGAATTTAATTCGCACGATTTCGTACTTTTAGATAATGCTTCGTCTTCTATTCAAGATGATAAAAAGTTGTAAGTATGATACGTTCCTATCTACAATTACTATAAACGTAGATTATCGCTCAAAAGACGGACAGATCGAAATCTCTTATATTCACAATGTATGATCCTTTAATAAATTTCTCTTAAATTTCCTGCCGTAAAATTTGAAAATATGAAAGATTGAAAAGTCTCAAAATCTATAAAATCACAATGTATGATAAGATTAGTCGAGTTGAAAGATACAGGTAAATCAATAAATTAACTATAAACTTCAAAATATCAGTGTATACAACGTTTAAAAACAAATTGAATTGTATATAATTTGAAAGGGTTTCAAACATATATAATTTCAGTCTGGTATCAATCATCAAAAGTAATTTCCTTTCCCGATCTCGCACATTCGTTTAAACTTTAAATTTGAGTTCCTCGGAATCTCAAAGAAAAAAATTAAAAAAGAAAACTGACTTAGCCGGTTCTGCCGAGACACTACTGAAATATAAAATGTCGATCTCCTGAAAGAAGTAACAATGAAATTTCGGCAACTCTTCCGAAATTCATCATCTAGATGAAACGAGGAAAGGCTCTATTAACTAGACGAAAGTATTTTAGTATTTTGAAAGACGAAACAAACACGCACTGGCAAGCTCTCGCGGTTAATTGTCCGCGGATCGCGGTGGCCGCCAGTGCGCGCGCGAGTGCGGAATGCAGCTCCTAGCATTATGCAAATGCAGAACTGGCGCGAGCGAGATAGAGTGCGCGCTCGCAAACTGAGCCAGACGAATTGAGAGCGTATGCGCGTCGAGAATCATCCCGACATATCATACCCTCTTTTCCGTCTATTAAACGAAATCGCGGACGGGAGTGTTGATCTGTTCGATGATTGATTCTTATGGTATTGTCTCGTCTGACGATCTGCTATTGCGATGGCTTGTTTTTATCTAGTTTCTGTTCGATAGGAAAACAATTCCTATCTTTTATCAGAAATATAAATAATAGTTCTTCAAACTACATGGAATTTTGTCCTGTGTCATTGGATCAGAAGTCACCAACAAAAAAGAAAATTTGAGTTGAGCCTTCCTTTAAAATGAATTTCGAGGAAGTCGTTGAATAATGCAATGCACATAATACGAAACATGAAATACAATCGATCGTTTTAAATGAAACGCAAGATGTCAAAAAATACATATCGACAATCATCTTTGCTCTAGTAACTCCATTCATTGCAAATTAATGATAGAGGAAAAACTTTGTAATCGCGGCGCACGTGGTACAACATACAGACAAGCAATATCGATGCTGTATTATAAGAGACGCTTATAAATTGCGCCAAGTCAAGCTTGGAATAGAAAGAAAAAAACCCCAAGTATTACATATCTCACTCGGCGCTCTTTTTTTTCCCCAGCCACGCGTTTTACATCTAAAAATAACCAATTCCACATACCGAGCTAATAGATTTCAGCACGAAACATGTATTTCAAGCGGCGATCGTAACGTCGTTGCAGAAACGCCGCGCGCAGAAACATTGAAATGCACACCGACGAGCTGCTAGCTTTTATGCGGTTTTCGTTTCAAGGATATGCATATATATGTATATCCCCCATATATACATTTATGTATACACACACACGCGCGTGCGCGCGCGCGCACGTCGTTCATGGAAAACGTGCGTAGTTCGGCAGCTATACAAACTTGTGTTATCTTATCTTCCAAAGGTGTACCGCACTGATTTTTCTTTTATTTATAGCGATAAATCCATATTTCGGGCTATCACTTTAACTTCGAGGAGATTGTAAAAAATTCACTGGCAGGATCTTCAATGTTGTGTGCTCGAATAAAATAGTCAGATTTTCAAACGAATGGTCGAAATACTTTGTTCCAAATGGTTAATTTTCCGTTACGAATGCTTGCGAATTATTCACGAATTTGACTCGCGTGAAATTTGGCAAACCATCTGTGAAGTTTTCTATTAAAAGTTATATATTTTTCATTAAGACTGGAAATTGTTTATGACTTATACATTAGTAACTTTTTTATTTTTATCATTATTTATATTCAATAATTTTCAATATTGCATTTATAATCACCTTGCTTTGGAATTAGCAGGCTGTAAATCGACGTTAACAACAATTTTAATCCATAACTTTACGATGTAAATGCGCAAAAGTGACACTAACATTTCAAACGTATAAAGTCATCAATGCCGTTGTTAATAGAAAAAACAATATTACAGTTAAATGCAATCCAAAAACAAACCACTACAGACTATAAATCACGTTATGAGAAAATCCAGTGCCTTCATTTCACGCAGCAAGCAGTAATCTCATTGAATATAAATGAAAAGCGAAACTTCTTTCTTTTTCTCCATTATCAGCCAAGCAGAAACCACTGCACCGTACGCTTCGCTCGCTTATCTGCAAAGCATCTGGGAACGGAGTGCGCTAACGAGCGATAAGCAATTGTAGTACAGCGTCGCGAGAAAAAACAAAAAAAGGAAAAAAAATGGATGCTGCGCGTTCGTGAAAAGCCGCAGCGGCGGCGGCGGCGGCGCCCGAATCGTGGCGCCAAGTCCAAGAGCAGTGCAACTAGGCGCCAAGTTACGCACGCACACGTATCACACACGCTCTTTGCATATAACGCACCTTGGCAATTAAAAGCTTCTCTTCGATCGCGACTGGATATCATTGATGACTTTTTTTATTTTTTGTAATGCGATCGCGCGCGTGCGTGCTGTTTTTTTCTTAAGTGTGTATTATTTAAATGCAAATGGCTTTTATTTTTCGAACTTATACGGTATTTGGTTTTTGTAGTTCGTTTATCGGTCGGCTATCAAATGGAGCTTTTGAAATATACGGGGATAAAAAGAAGTTTAATGAATTTTGAATTTCAAAAAATCTGTCATAATATTTAATCGCAAACATTACAATCAATTGGTGAGTTCGATTGTCGTTAGTGCTTGCTTCGTTTTACATTGTAATATGATCGTAGACATTCAGAAAAAT